CAGACACACAGACTGCACGCACAGCTATTCAGACACACAGACTGCGCACAGCTATTCACAGCCACACAGACACGCAGACACACAGACTGCACGCAGCTATTCACAGACACACAGACACGCAGACACACAGACTGCACGCAGCTATTCAGACACACAGACTGCACGCACAGCTATTCACAGCCACACAGACTGCGTGCACGGCTATTCACAGACACACAGACTGCGCACACAGCTATTCACAGCCACACAGACACACAGACACACAGACTGCGCACAGCTATTCACAGCCACACAGACTGCGTGCACGGCTATTCACAGACACACAGACTGTGTCCACGGCTATTCACAGACACACAGAACATCGTTCCCACCGGAGTGGGACCAGGTCGCCGCACCCAGTGCCGTGAGAGTGGCGTTACTTACCCACTGACTGGTAGTTGTTTGTCTTCAAGTTGTGCAGACAGACGGCACTGGATGGCCCGCACTCCGTAATGCCCACGTTTCCGCAGAGGTTGATTTTGTACAGCATGCTATTTTTGGTATCAACAGCTTCCCATGTGTAACTAGAAAGGGAAAAACAAAAACACAACTTGTCACGGTCATGGACTTACAAACAGCAAACGTCTCTTTACTCTTACATTCAGGCCACATGTGCTTACTACCACAAACTAGAAGGCACCTTCATTAGCCAAAAATACTAAAGTCAAGTATGTTGAGTTGAAAAGAAGCCAGGGCAGAAACCACTAAATACCACCTCGCTCTGCTGAAATCTGCTCTGAAGCCACTCCGGAACTCAACTATCATCAAAATACTCAAGTCTGGCCCAGCCACAGTGGAGGCAGTGGTAGGGCACCTCAGCGCCAGGTTGGAGCCCCAGGTTTAGTTCCCAGAACAATCTCACCAAGCAGCGAGCATGTAGCAGCCCATGTCTATAATCCTTGTTAACGGGGAACTGGTGCGGGCAGAACGTCACGGGGAGACCCTGTCAGAAAAATACCTTTCTCTCTCCTCTTTCTGTCACCCCTTTCATAAACAGAATTCTACCATTAACTTAGGAATACCAACTCAGATAAATAACAGCTCAAGAATCACACTAAGGCAATAACTTCTGCAATTACGCTGAAATACCGAAGAGCCAAAAGCCATGAACGATAGTCTATCTGGCTTTACCTTCCAAGGCTACGGTTCCAATCTGAGCTGACCAGATACGGCTGCGGTGAGCCGATGATCTGATCTGGAATCAACCTTCCTTGGGCTGACTCACGATATCGAGCATAAAACTCACTGCTGAAACCCCAGCCTGACAGACACCGAGGTCACTGCTTATCAACTGATCTGGATACTTGGGGCTACGAGTTGGCTTGTCGGTTCTGTTAAAGCGATTATGCTCACTTCTCTACTCTTCCCTGGGAGAATGGTTTGTCCATTTTGTAAAATGGGGATCACTTTTCCAGCAAGGACAGAAACAGAAAAGAAGACTTGCTAAAAAGTTTGCTGCAAAATGCAAGCAGCATTGCTGAAGGCGAGGTCATTCAGATCCGAATTGCTTAGCCTAGGCCAACCCAGGAGCTGGGAGGCCTTGGTGGGACCTTGAGGTCTTCAAGCCACGCGAGCACTGGTATTTGCTTCTAGTGCAGAACCCCTCTGAGGATAAAGTGTGCCTCTGAAGCAGCCAGCCCCTTCCAGGGTAGTGACCCAGCACCAAGCAACCAGCAGCCCCCTCCCTGCCCAGAACTAGTGTCCCAGGTAGCCCCGTCCAGCAATGGAGAAGCCAGGCAGCCCTGCCCTGGTCACTGGCAAACAAGGCAAGGCCAAGTATCCAAGTATCCCGAGCCTAGGCCTGGGGCCAATCACGGAAGTTCTGATAGCCGCTACCCTGAAGGAACCTGAAAAACAGGCTGGGGCACTCGGTCCCAGCCCTGGAGTGGCACCAGGTTTTCAAGCAGTTACTACTAAACCTGGCTTCGCCCATCATGTCTTGGGGTCTCTTCTGGAATGCAGAGGACTGACCAGCATGACAAAATAATCCAGGTCTCAGCAGGCACAGGGAAAATCATCAATAAGGGCTTGTTTCCCTCACCAATCATTAGCCACCGTTCATTTGGCTCACGAGCATTTAAGTACTTGCTACAGAGGCGGGGTGGAATACAGCAACAGACACACAAGACCAAAACTCCCACCCCTCGGCCTGTGTCCTCCAGGGGAGGAGCAAATAAACAAGCACCCACACACAGAGGCTCCCACATTCAACACGCTCTGTGAACACAGAAGAGCCACTTTCAACTGGGAAGCTTCTGAGACGACCTTGCCCTGAGACTGGAAGGACGCACAGGCGCAGATCCAGATGTGGGGAAGAGCGCCCCGATTTGCGTACTGGCCACAGCAGGCCACGATGGGGGTGAACGTGGCATTCCCAGAAGTGAAAGGGCATGCGGCTGCAGCAGGGCCCATGAGGAAGTAAGGAGGAGGAGATCTGGTCACGGACACCATCAAAGACACACACACACACACACTCACACACAATGCTGACCTGGATGTGGAGAAAGGGGCCCTCTGTGACAATATTGGTTGGAACAAAAATTAGTACAGCTGTGATGAAAAACAGCATGGAAGTCTCTCAAAACAATAAAAACTGAACTGCGATCGGGTCCCGCGACCCCACTGCTGCGCACAGCCCAGGAGAGGGCAGCTGTGTGCGGCAAAGGCACCTGCACCCACAGCTCACTCACTGCTGCTTATTCATGAAAGTCAAGAGATGGGCCCCGCCCCAGTGTCCAGACGAATGGGGAAAGACGCGTGTGGTATATACACTGTGGAATACTATGTGGCCGTTAAAAAGGACAAAATCGGGTCAGCCAGTGGTGTGGAGGTTAAGGCAGCTGGATCCCACATGACTGACTGCACAGCTCGGGTTCCAGACCCAGTGGTTTGAAAAACAGGCCAGGCGCATGTGTGTGCCCCAAAATCCCAAGAGAAGAATGGAGAAGGGACCCTGGTACAGCCATCCCCCTAGAGAGTAACTTTTTATTTTCCCTCCCT